GGGAGGGTGCAGGCAGACGCGGCACTTGGGTTTTCACCACTACAATGTGCTGCAGGTCGCAGACACTGCCCGGGAGTCTGAAACATACTGCTTTTGTCAGGTGAAATGAAAACAGCTATCGAAAGCTGAGAAAAATGTGCGCTCTGGGCAAAAATGGTGTGGGGTTTAATAACTGAGAGAGGTCTCGCCCCGCAGCCGTGCTGGGGCTGCGTGCCCACGGGCAGAGCCACGCGAGGCTGCCTCACCCGCAGCCAAACGCTGTTTAAGAGTGAATAAACCCAACACACCGGGAACAAGGTAACAAAATTTATGGTAATTAAACTGTCTCTACATAGATGTAAGACTGGTGGCTATTGCATATCCAGTCAGCTAAAAACCAAGGCAGGGACATGAATGCTAACGAAGGGAACCAGCACTGAGCTCCTCCGCTGCTGCGCTCCCGAGCTGGAGGGTCCTGGGGGTCCAAAGCCCCTGCAGAACACCGGGAGGGTGCTGGCAAAGCTCCTGTCTGCTGTAGCAGTGGTTCAGACGAGGGCAGGAGAGGAGATGGGTAGCTGTTGGCCTCTTGAGAAAAATGTTTCTGCATGAATTGGATAGCTGATTTTGAATTAATTTTGAATAGTTGTTTCAGTAATTCAGATTGATTTAAGATGCACCCCAGAATAATGCTTTCATTATAAAACCTCCTGAGCAAAATTTAAATCGTGCTAAATTAAAAACAGCCTCTGTTAAACCAGGGCAGATGAGCACAACGGAGGGATCAGAGATGAAGGGTCAGTGTAATTTAATTCCTTTGCTTTGTTTCCCATTCCAGAAAAACTGTTGTACCTGTTCCTTGGGTTGTTAATATTCCTTGGGTTGTTAATGAACTAAAGAGCTTGCAGACCGTCCTGGCTTTCAAAACTGAGCTGCACAGTAACCCCAGCAAAAGCAGCACTTACTCTATTTTATGCAGTCCTTCACCTTCAAGAAGAAATGCGGTTTTATTGCTTTTCATTTATGGGTCAGTCTGGAAATTCAGTTGTATCCTAAAGATACTTCGGAATCTGGAATAACAGCAGCTGATGTACAGTACAGTGGGAGAGTTAATGGCTTCCTAATGCTAGCCTCTTTGTTTGTTGCAAGTAAACTTTCTCTTTTATATAAATGGAGCTGATTTTTTAATGGCTTAATAACATGGGAAAAGTTCTCCTGCATGTTCCAAATCAGTTTTATAAAGCACTCTGTCACAAGCGGTGGTGGAATTCCAGTGTCAGGGAAACGTTTGCTTGTCTGGATTTAAATGTTTCAGTGTTCAGAACAAAAAAAATACATATATGTGTGTATAGATTTGAGTTTAAAAACATTGTGCTTTATAATTTCTTGTTTTAAATGCTGGCTGCATTTTTAAAGGCAAATGGCAGAAAATATTTAAGATACTCGTAAAAGCTGTGAGCATTGCTGAAATGCAAGCAGCGAACTGGCAGGCACTAAGCGGGCACAGCCCGACGCGTGAAGCAGCACGTTAGAGACTCTGGCTGCATTTTGGCCACGTCTGTGTGACAGGCGTTGCCAGTACTTGCATTAGTGACAAGACCCTTCCAAACACACTGAAATGACTTCTCAAGACAGATCTGTATGAAATACTGTATGAAAATGCCAGTTTGTCAAATCTGAACAGATTTATGGGGCAGCGAAGGGGGCCGGGGGATGCTAACCACCCACGCCACGTGCTGGGAGTCGGGAAGGTGGAAAGCACCTGAGCCCAAACGTTTCTTTCCTAGAGCTCACGAGTTTCCATGCCCTGGTGCCAAGCCACGGGTGAG